AAGTCTGACTTCTTCCCTCCTGAATCATACCTTGGTACATGCACCCAACAATGCAAGGGCATCTTGCCAGGAAGGTGCCCCTGGTAAGGCATCACATCCCCATGTTGATGGGGAAAGGGCCAGTGGATGTGAGGGTCTGCAAATATCCATTCTTCCACATGTGAATGAGTAGGGGTACATGTTACTCCTTGTAACTCATTCACAGAAAAAAATTTACAATGTAAATAAACAGACACAGTTGACAAAGTACTGTTTTCCCCATGCAAATCTATCATCAATTATGACATCCAGCAAACAGTGCTCCTCTGAGCTGCCAACACAAATAAAATGACCAGCACTGACAATCCTTTTCCATCATTAATGCTGAATGTCCATACGCCAAACAGTTATGCTGGCTGGCATCATTGCCCAAATATGGACTATACCTGTACTTGTTCAATGACATCACTAGTGATACCCGCTGACTTGTTAAATATGTAAAACAAGCTGGCGGGCAGGCCAGAGAGTCATTCATTGGGGCTGGTACACACCACAGAAATGCAGTCCAGATGCGTTCCAGATGTGTGTGTGCATGTGCATTTACATGTGTTTTTGATGCGTTTTTGGTGCCTTTCTGATACTTGGTAAGTGGTCCGGTGAATTTTTTTCCTCTTGTCTTTATTAACTAAAGTTTTCTGGGCTTTGGTTGTTAGGAACCAGCACCTGTCAATGTCCTAAAAGCAATGAGTTATCCCTGATGTAAGCAGCAGGGATGAGTTATCAGTTTTTAAGGAGCAGATACACAATGTCAACAAAGCTGTTGTGAGTGAATCTCAATCATAACAGCTCTGCTTCCTTTACTAGTAAGCTGTGATTGGACCACATCTATAACATGATACCTGAGCCAATCACAGTACCCTGTACCATGTGATTAGCTGTAGGCAATCACAGATCACTGATAATCATAGCTGTCATGAATAAAACTCATTCATGACAGTTCAAAGCATTGCTGGTACGATGATCTTCATCCAGCAAAAAAAAATTAAAAAAAAAAGAAAAGAAGTATTTTAAAAATTGAATAAAAATTATTTAAATGTTTTATATATTTTTTAACATACTCTCACCAGTTAGTGTCCCTGATCACCACCACACCAGTCATATGATGATGGTGTACTGCGCTGGTGACATTATGTAAAAAAAGGTATTTAATTTCTTAATTTTTCCAAAAAAATTGTTAGAAAAATTACAACTTCAAGAAACTCGCCATGCACCTTAATAAATATCTCAGATTAGATACTTTCCAAAAATGGGTTATTTGGGGGGTATTTGTACTGTACTGGCTTATTAAGGGCCTCAAGAAATGAGGTAGGTGGTTAGTTCATCAGAATTGATCAATTTTCAAATATATATACCATAGTTTGTAAATGCTATAACTTTCACACAAACTAATTAGTATATACTTATTAGGTTTTTTGTTTTTTTACCAAAGACATGTAGCAGAATACATTTCTTATTTTTTTTATTTCATGTATTTTGTAACAGAAAATAGCAAATATTGTTTTTTTTTTTTTTTCAAAATTTTTGGTCTTTTTTCATTTATTATTATTATTATTATTATTATTATTATACAGGATTTATATAGCACCATCAGTTTGCTCGGTGCTTTACAATATAAAGGGAGACAATACGGCAATGATACAGTTCAATACACTAGGGTTAGGAGGGCCCTGCTCCTTGGAGCTTGTAATCTAAGAGGGAGGGGCTGGTGGTACAAAAGATAATAGCTGTGGGGGATGTGCTGATATGAGGAATAGAAGATTCTGTTATTAGCTGAAGGCAGGATAGGCTTCCCTGAAGAGATAGGTTTTCAGAGATCGATTAAAAGTGGGCAGAGTAGGCAATAGTCGGATAGATTGGGGTAGAGAGTCCAAGAAGATAGGGGAAGCCCTGCAGAAGTTCTGGAGACGAGAATGGGAGAAGACAAGGGAGCTAGAGAACAGGAGGTCGTGGGAGGAGCAGAGAGGACGGTTTGGGTGATATTTGGAGTCAATATTGGTGATGTAATTTGGGGCAGAGTTACAAATGGCTTTATATGTTATTGCTAATGTTTTGAATTTTATTTGGTGGGCAATGGGAAGCCAGTGGAGAGATTGGCAGAGAGGGATGGCAGATATGGAACGGTTAGTAAGGTGGATGAGTCTGGCAGCAGCATTCATGATAGACTGAAGAGGGGATAGCCTGGATTAGGTAGGCCAATAAGGAGGGAGTTACAATAGTCAAGGCAAGATATAACAAGGGAGTGAATACGTTTCTTAGTGGTTTCAGAGGTTAGGAACGGGCGTATCTTGGAGATGTTGCGGAGTTGACGTCTACAAGATTTAGACAGCGATTGGATTTGGGGCTGAAAGAACAGATGGGAGTCTAGGATTACACCTAGTACCCTTGCATAAGGGGAGGGACTGATGGTTGTATTATTGATCTTGATGGAGAAGTCAGGGGAGGGGGCATGGGCTAGAGAGAATAGTATGAGCTCTGTTTTGAAAAGAGTTAGTTTGAGTGACATCCATGCTGATATGTCACTTAGTAGGTTAGTAATGCGAGAGGAGACGGTGAGGTGAGGAGTAGAAAGATAGATTTGTGTGTCATCAGCATAGAGATACTTAAAGCCATGGGAGTTTATCAAGTGACCAAGGGAGGAGGTATAGATGGAGAAGAGAAGGGGTCCAAGGACAGAACCTTGAGGGACCCCTACAGAAAGAGGAAGTGTTGAGGTGGAGACAGAATTATAGGTAATGCTGAAGGTCCAGGTAGGAGGAGAACCAGGAGAGAGCAGAGTCCCAGAGGCCAAGAGATTGGAGTTTTTTTGAGGAGGAGGGGATGGTCAACAGTATCAAAAGCCTCAGAGGGGTCAAATAGTAAGAGTATGGAATAAAAAATATAATAATAATAATGATAATAATTAAAATGTGGTGATCAAATACTGCAAGCACAAATCTCTATTTGTGTGAAAAAGATATATAAATGTAATTTGTGTACAATGTTGCATGACTGCACCATTGCCAGTTAAAATAGCACAGTGCTAATAAGCAAAAAAATGGCCAGGTCATGAAGGGGGTAAAATCTTTCAGAGCTTAAAGTGAAGCTCCAGTCTCCTGTGAAAAAAAATAAAAGTCAGCAGCTATAAAGTCTGTAGCTGCTGGCTTTAAAAAAAAAAACAGCCACTCACCAGTCCTATAATCCAGCAGTGTGCTCATCCTAGCCGTGTCCACCTGTCATCTTCTGTCTCCAGTGAGACAGACATCTGTGTCCAACATCTTAACTGGGGGCATCCAGCTGTGACAGCTTGCACCTTCATAGCCGGGTGATCACTGAGCATGCCTGAGCAGCGCTGTGCATTGTGCATGGTCCTGCAGTCTTCTGGGACCTCTCACGTGCTTTCGATTGCTTATGAAGTCAGAGCGGAAGTGGGAATGGGTACCTGCCAAAATCGTGTACCTGCTCCCCCCACTCCTCAAACGTGCCAATTATTCACAGGAAGCAGGGAACAAGTCCTTAAACTGGAACTTCCCCTTTTGGATGGTGCTCCATTTTAACTGGAAAAAGACTGGTGAAAGATAGATATTTTTTCCTTGAAACAAATGCCAAAATTAAATGATAATTAACCAAATGTTTTGCTTGCTTTATGCTGTATGCTTTTTTTCAACCTTAATAATTAAATTATAGCAGGTGCCAGTTATTATCATTCGCGTGATACAGTCTACTAAGCAAGTTAATGCTAAAAAATGAACATCTGCTTACAAACAAGAGAAATATCTGGTAATGTATAAGAAAAGACAAAAAAAATGTATGTTTGTTGGTTCAGCTTCTTATAGTATAGGATAATAACAATAATATAAATAGCATTAAACATTTACCAAATAAACCTTATTTTAACAATATATTTTTTACAATGTTTATTATAAATGTATTATAGCATATTTTAGCAATGCCTTTTATTTATTTATTTTTCATGAAAACAAATATGTTTGAAACTGGTTTGGAACTTTAATAACGTTCTCTTAATTTTCACATTTACTCAACCATGAAGTGAATTTCTTGTTTTCATTTGAAGACATTGAAAATTTCCCCAGAGTTTAAGTGGAAGAAGCTGGATAGTTAATTTTAGGTTTAACTATGATAATGGATTTACTAAAGAATTTTAAGTAATTCATCTTTTACGGAAGATTATCTTTATTTCCTTAAAACACTAAGTACAACTTAACTTTACTCTCATCTTGGTCATTCATCCTTGCAAATTAAATTATACACCATTCACCTTGTTTAAACTTTTGTTATCTTTTATCTATCTTCTTAGTCCCTCCTTAAAATTATTCTCAATTTAAAGCAGAACTCAAATCATATTTTTACTACATACTGTATTGTATCTATCTATCTATCTATCTATCTATCTATCTATCTATCTATCTATCTATCTAATCTTTCACCATCTTTGTTTAACCACTAGCCTACAGGGCACTTATACCCCCTTCCTGCCCCGGTCCAATTTCCAGCTTTCAGCGCTGTTGCACTTTGACAATTGCACGGTCATGCAACACTGTACCCATATGACATTTTTATCATTTTTTTGTGACAGCTAGAGCTTTATTTTGGTGGTAATTATTCACTTCTTGGTTTTTAATTTTTTCTTAAACAAACCAAAAACCACTGAAAATTTTGAAAAAAAAAAGTGTTTTTTCTTAGTTTTTGTTATAAAATTTTGTAAATAAGTGATTTTTCTCCTTCACTGATGTGCGCTAATGAGGCTGCACTGATGGGCACTGATAGGCTGCACTGATGGACACTGATAGGTGGCACTGATGGGCACTGATGATGAGGCACTGGTAGGTGGCACTGATGAGCATTGACAGGCATCACTGATGGGCACTGAAAGGCAGCACTCATATATGGCACTGATAGGCGGCACTGACTGGTACTGATAGGTGGCACTGGCTGCCACTGTTAGGCGGCACTGATAGGCGGCACTGACTGGCACTGATATGCGGCACTAATTGGCAGCACTGATAGGTCGCACTGACTGGCATTGATAGGTGGCACTGACTTGCACTGATGGGTGTCACTGAAAGGCAGCTCAGATGGGCACTGATATGTGGCATTGATGTGGCACTGATGGGCACTGGCAGGTGGCATGGATGAGCACTGAGAGCTGGCACTGATGGACACTGACAGGTGGCACTGCTGGGGCTACACAGATCATCAGGGCACACTAATCATCAGTGCTCTGATGATCTGTGTAGATGTCTCCTCCGAGTAATGCTGATTACCAGCTCTCCTCTCCTCACGAGCTGTCAGCATGGCAGCTCGTGAGGAGAGAAATGTTGATAACCGGCATTTCCCTATTTACATGTGATTGGACACAGCTGATCACATGACCGAGCTGACATCTTCGGCTCTTTCCATGGATCGGTGATCCGCTGTGTCCAAGGGACACAGTTCAATGCCGATCGCCGCGCTGCTTTCCCTATTTATATATGATCAGCTGTGATTGGACACAGCTGATCACATGACCGAGCCGACATCTTCGGCTCTTTGCATGGATTGGTGATCCGCTGTGTCCGAGGGACACAGCGCACCACCGATCACCGCGCTGCGCGCTCCCGGAGCCGCGCATGTGCGGTTAAAATGGGAGGACATCACATGACGTCCTCCAAGAACGAGAGAACCGCCTTGCGTCTGTCATTTTACTATATGGCGGACGGGATGCGGTTAAAGTCCAGACTACATTCTTCCTTCCGTTATGAAGAAAAAAAATAAATAATCCCAACAATAAAGCTGACAAGGCAAAAATCAGGCTGAGAAAGCTGCATTCTTATCTATACTATATAAACTTGACTATTTATCTCTCTACCCCTCAGCTCACTCCATCAGTCTTTGCATACATCACTAATTTACTAACAGACATATCAGACTGGATGTCACACAACTTTGTTAAACTCAATCAATAATATTTTCTCTTCCACGTGCCCCTTCCCCTGTCAAGATCGATGGCACAACTATCAGCTCATCCCCGCATTCCAAGCTGCTAGGCATAATCCTGGACTCTGAACTATCCTTGCAGCCCCACATTGAATCAATATCCAAAGCTTGCCACCTCAACCTCCAAAACATCTCCAAAATGTGCCCCTTCCTAACCAATGACACCACAACCAATCCTAATCCAATCCCTGGCCATTTCTCACTTTGACTACTTTAGCTCCCTTCTCATTGGTTTACCTTTACATAGACTACTTTCCCTTCAGCCCATCATGAATGCTGCTGCCAGACTCATCCACCTAGCCAACCCTTCAGTGTCTGCTACTCCTTTATGACCATCCCTCCACTTGCTTGAACTCGCCCAACAAATTAAATTCAAAATACTGACAATAACTTACAAAGCCATCATAACTCTGCCCCCATTACATCAATAACCTAGTCTCAAAATACAAACAAAATCAATCCTCCCAAGACGTCCTGCTCTCTAGCCAACTCCACCTCGAGCTTAGTTCCCACCTCTATAAAAATCTTGATTTCTATATTAAACGACTTTGTCTCTCCTGCTACTTCCAGGGCAACAGACCTGGTAAGGTCCTAGCTAACCAATATAAACGCAGAGTAGCTCAATCTAAGATCCCATATATGACAAACTCGCAAGGCAAAAGATGTATTAATCCAGGGGCGGACTGACAACTCGTAAGGCCCCCGGGCAATTGGGGATCATGGGGCCCCTTTTTCCTTGCCCACACTCAAAACACACCCAAAAAGCCTATTAAAGGGAATTTTATGGGGCCCCCTACTGACCCCGAGCCATCGGGCAGTGCCCGAGTGCTCGAATGGTCAGTCCACCCCTGTATTAATCCTATTGACATAGCCAACTGTTTCAGGAACTTCTATGACAAACTCTACAACATTACCACCCTAACTGCGACACCCCCAGACTCGACCATTCAGTGCTTCTTATCAGCAATTCAGCTACCCTCATTGACCCCTGTCCAACGAGACCAATTAGCCAGGCCCTTCACTGAACATGAGCTTTTAGCAGCCATTAAATTCCTACCTCTACACAAAAGCCCGGGGCCAGATGGGTTTTGCAATGAATACTACAAGGTCTTTGCAGAGCTATTAGCTCCCCATCTATGCACCTCCCTAAATAGATTTATGATGACTGGTGAAATTCCTTTAGAATACTTGGAAGCCCTCATAATTTCCATCCCCAAAACAGGCAAAGCTTTTGATGACCCCGCTAACTACCAACCTATTTCATTACTCAACACCGACCTGAAACTCTACGTGAAACTCTTAGCCTCCCACCTGGCTACCCACATCCCCTCCTTGATACACCCTGATCAAGTCAGATGCATCCCCAACTGACAAGCCTCAGACTACACAAGCAGGTTTATAGACCTATTTCAGTGGACTGAACATTGTCGGACGCCTTCTCTGTTCATTTCTTTGGATGTAGAGAAGGCGTTCAATAGGGTGCATTGGAGGTACTTGGAGCAAGTCCTAATAAAGTTTGGAATGATGGGTACCTTCCTTCAGGCCATAAAGGGCCTCTATTCCTCTCCCACAGCTAAAATTTGGTCAGGGGGCTACCTATCAGACTCACTACATATTACTAAGGGTATGAAGCAAGGCTGCCCTTTATCCCCGCTTACCTTTGCCCTGGTAATCGAAATCCTTGCTGCCACAATCAGAGCCAATACACTAATCACTGGTGTCAACATAGGGTTGGTCTCTCACAAAATAGGCCTCTACGCAGACAACATTATTGTCTCTTTATTCAACCCTTCCCAATCTATTTCCACGTTACTTCAGACACTAGAAGAATTTGGACGAGTCTCACTTGATAAGGTTAATCACTCTAAATCAGCAATTGGCATCCACCTTACTCACGCCATCAAAGAGGATAGCTCACAGAAAGCACATTTCTCATGGGCACATAACTCAATGTTCTCATATCTAGGGATACAATTAACCACCCCCTTCTCTGCTCTATTGTGTACCAGCATCGAACTCCTCAACACAAAACTACAACAATATACCTCCAACCTAAAAGGGACTAAAACCTCATGGGCATGACGAATAGCACTCACTAAAATCTTCCTCCTACCACATGATTTATACCTCTTCAGAACTCTCCTGGTCCCTATACTCTCCTATCACATCAACAAAATACAAAAAAATTATAAACTCCTTCATCTGGGAACATAAACGACCTTGTATACATCAGTCTGTTTTATATCTCCCAACCAAGATTGGAGGAATTATAGCACCGAACCTCAAAACCTAATATAAAGCTGCCATTCTTGATCAAACCAAAGCTTGGTGGAACCCAGAAATCTCTAACAAAATCTGATTTTTGAATCAATTCCCCCTGATGAAGCCATGTGACCGGTGGTGTAACGCGTAGGGGAGGGGCTCTGACATCACCACGCCAAGTCGGCTTTTATACGGCAAGTACAGCTAGAAGGAGCTATGCATTAAGGCTTGTTTTAATTATTTAAATGTGAGTGCAATAAAATGGCTATGCAATAAAGTGTTTTATAAGGGTAAAGCACTATCTTTTGTTCCTTGTTTCTGGCATTATATGTGTGGAGACTTCTGGAGTGGGTTTAGGAGGATTATTCCCCTTGGAGATGAAAAGGAAGAAATATCCATCTATCCATACATCCACAGATCTGCATAGGATAGTAATGAGAAGAGTGACCAGGTGGATAATCAGGAAACTACGCTGTGGACACACTCAAAGAAGATGATGAACATCAGTGTACATTTTATCCTTTTAGGATAAACAACTTGTTTAGCCTGTATTTTTGGGCTAAAAATGGAGGTGAGCGCATCGCGCCCCCGGGCGGCGCGGCAACTGAGCTTCATATATACCGCAATCATCTATATGTTGGAGTGAATTCACCCATTTGTACCTATCTCTCAGAAAAGGAGGAATTTCCTTTATTATTGATATTGGACACATAATGATGTTACTACACTAAAATTTCTCTATATCCCAAAGGGATCATTTGGGCGTTTTTGTGTGTTGTTTGGACGGAATATTGTGAGGAGTTTGTTTGTATCGATGTGGGAGCGCAGCACAGTTATTTATTTTTATATAGCTTTTTGATCTCAGTACCTGACTCCCTCCAACCCGCTCTCTTATCACCCATATACAAATTGTAATTTCCCTCTTGAATGACCAGTACCTCATGGAATTCATGTTTACCAAAGCACATTTGATGATCACAAACTTCCATGAAAAATGGATAGGGTGGTCTCAGGACCCTAGACACTGCCCACCTTCCTGAATTCCCCACATATGACTCCAGTCAATCACTCTTATCTAGATCGAGGTTTTTTTCCTGTCGGTGACTCACCCTTCAGTGGGGGACACTTCAGGCAACCTTTGTTCTCTTGAATATCTGCCTTAATATTCCCTCTGCCTTAAAGCTACAGGGAGCTGGGTTTACTCCCAACTCTCCTCCATTCTCTCTTGTATTATATGTCTAAATGTCTTTATGTATTGGAAACTTATGTGTAATTGTTTGGTAACAAAATGTTTCATATCCCTGTCTTTTTCAATGCTATGTAAACATGAAAAATTTTAATAAAAAATAAGTGAGAAAAAAAAGGTGTGACAGGTAAAGCTAACTTTTTTTATTGTTAGCATGCACCCCTTCTTTATCTCTCTTCTAGAAGACCATAGAAATTGCTATATATGAGGACTGAAACCTGTTGACAACAACAGAAGTAGAATTTGACTAGTGCAATAGAAATGTTGGGACCATGATGGAGCTTCATGGGATGGATTAATTTCCCCTGACAAAGCACTTTCTCCCTATGTTGAGAGGGACAGGGGTTTTATTTTCACCATATCCCTAGCCCAGTGGTTTGGGAGTCTGTGGGCAGGGGACTTATCAGAAACTGGATTCCCCCCATAAAAATGAAGGAGTCTCCAGGAACCAGCCCTCCCACCCACATAATTTAATAAGGGGTTCCTTTATTAAAAAGAAATCCCAAAAAAGGCAGTTGCTGTAAAATCCATCATTAACCATTATGTCCACTGCCCACTGACTTAATCAAAATAAAAACCCAACAGACCTGGATCACATGACTGATTCCGATGGTACTGCTCATTGTAAGATAGTTCCCTGAGCTGTCATTAGTAATATAAGGGAAATGGTGGGCTGTAGTGACATCATTCACCAAATATGATAGAGAAAAGATTGCACCCGCGCTCCTATATATTTATATATACAGCTTAAGCTTCTAAAGTGTATCAAATAACAATATTACCAAATATAAACTGTGACTATACCACTAAATGCATATGAAAAATACATATAGATAACATGCATGGTAA